CTTACTTTTTTTGCATGCTGTAAAGGTTTTGTGGGTGAAGGTGCATTTTATTTTATAAATAAATCATTGATGAGCTCTAGAGTTTGGGCTAGACTTATAAAAAACTGTTTAAAACGCAGTTTGAGGAAAAGGAGAACAAAAAGACCTTCAGCGGCACCTCATATTGGTGAATTCCACAATTATGGTCATAAGACTTTTTGGTCTTGATGAAAATGGGTTTTTGTTAAAAAGCAAATACTATACAAATATATCATGTAAATATTCTAAATTCCTAAGCTAATTAACTTCCCCCAGCAGCTATATAAATAGCACAAAGATTTTAAACAAGTATTGACAAATAGTGTTGCAGTCCTCAAGTGTACAATAAATAACTAAAACTAATATAGTCTTTCTAACCATATACAATATCCTCTATTATGGATGGACATTGTTATTGTTTGCACATAGAATTTATGCCATTAGACACTGGAATATATCTATAGACTGATTATCTATGAATGTTGTTAATGATATTGTATATATTTAGAGTTACTAATTATTGGTTTTAGCAGTTTATTGTACAATTTGGAGTTTTAACTTTTTTTTTAAAAACACTATACAATGTGTTTCGTGTTTGTGCAGAACCTCTTCCTCAGGTTTAGTTATGGACAACTTTTGGAAGTGCTGGTAGGTTAGGCTCTCAGTGATGCTCTCTCCAGGGTCTGTTGTGGAATTTTAGACATAACTGTAGATAGTTGCTGCGCTCCTTACTGAATGCCCCTTGTGCTGAAAGTTCACATGTAAAAGTACAGTATGCTGTCAATTTCGAATGTTCTGGCGGGAATGTGACATCACAATGACCTCAGAGGGGGTGTGCTCTGTCCACTCTGGCAATTGTGATTGGTTTATGCTGTCTTTTAGTTAGTATATATGGTTCTGGGATTCTTGTATTGATTGTCATGCTAAGCCTGATGAAGGGGACCCTGCGTGGTCCCGAAACGTTGCATTTTTGCATAAATAAAAGACGCTTTATTTTGGACATCATCCATTGGTGTGCTAGTGACATTTCTGATGTACAATGTAGTTGAATTTTGACATTAACTCGTTCACTTCATGTTGATATTAATTCGCATATACATAGAGTATTATTATGTTAATCCTAGACTTGAGCAGCTTTATGCAGATATACAAATTAACTTTAGATGAACCCTAAGAACACTGGCATATTTTCAGTCTATGTGCTTGGGCTGGAATAGAAGGGTAGAACAACTTAGGAGACATACTGTCTAAGGATTGTCACATTTTTGGATGGTCTCAGTGACCTAGGTCTTGGCAGCCAATTATATATTAGCGCATATGGTTGTATTGTAACATTTCTTATAAAAAGGGGCCTGCAAGCCTCTGTTCTTTGAACTGCTCACAGCTGCAGCTGTTATTAAACCTGTTGAATAAGGATTCTGCCTGCTTCGATCCTTTGCTATTCCACTTCAGGTCCTGGGTGCTCACCTAGTGTTGCTGCACAGCCACACAATGCATTGTATGGCATTTACAATATAAAAACTATTTTCTATTGAAATCAAGATGAAAAAGCCTTATTTCATTCACTGTGGAATTCACTACTACAGGGCACCACTGTTGCAACCTTATCAAGGCTCCCTTTATTCTCCTTTTATTAAACTGGATTCACACCAGCACCATACCATGCTCCAGGGATTGTTCCCCTCCATTCTCAAGAGCCTCCATCATGAATGAGATCTGCATGGAGATGGTCTTCATCGAGGAAATCTGTGTAAGAGTTGAATAGATCCTCCCTAGCTTGCACTTTATCTTATAGTTTATCAGCAATGTCCAATGTCAATAAAAGCATTTTTGGCTGCAGTTAGCATAAGTACCTGAGTCTGTATTGATATCATTGTCCTGTAAAACCATGCTCCGAGGACACGCAAGCACTAGTCAGGTGCTGTTGCATTCACATGTGCTGACAAGAAGAATGAGCAAAGAAATTGTCTCATCGGTGTGCCACCGCTCCTTAATTATCCAATCGGAAGTCTGGGGGTGTGTTTGCACTACATGAAAGGAGTAGGATCTTGCTGTGCAGACTGGTAGAGGTGCCCTTGTCACAAACCTGGCTGCAGAGAATTAAATATGCTTTGGCAAACAAAACAGTTTGCATGTATGTATTTTAACTTTGTGTTTAGCGGCATGCATTGAGTTCAGGCATAATATGTTATTTTGAAAGTTGTAATTTTTGTCCCTTCCAGGGGAAGAAGCTGCCTTCCAGTATTAGCGATGATGCAGAGGAAGGGGAGGTTTCAGATGAAGACAGCGCAGATGAAATCGATGAAGACTGTAAACTCATAAATGGCGATGTATGTAAGCTATACCTGTATCTCTCTGAAAATGCTGTGTGTTATATGAAAGTAAATGACAGGCAAAGGAATTTTTAATTGCGTTTGCCCTTAACTTGTAGTTTTCAATGTGGTTCAAGCGCAGTGACGTCACTGTACCTGTAGTCCATTGATACTGTCCCTGTAACTGAAAGTCCATAGCTCAGTGCAGACAGGGACTGGGAGGAAAAGCCAGAACATTGTATCCGCAATCCACTGATCACAATTGCAATGCTTTACAGCCTTGCAAAAAAAAAACAATATATACGTATGTGTAATATAGATATCTATCTATGGATAGATATCTATCGATAGATAGATATATGATGGACAATATCTTTTAGTGTCTGTATAAATCTGTTATAATTTCAATGACAAAATGAAAGGCATAATGTAAATAAACTACAGAATTAAACAGTTCATCTTAGGGAATGGCATTAGCTACAATGGTACGATGTAGCAAACACTATAAAAACAGTTTGTTTTATTATAGATTTATTTACACAACTATGAATCTATTTTTTATTTTAGCCAATTTTCTGTGTTTATAGTTAGCAACTTTCAACCTTTCAACCTTTGGACAACTATCAGGCTTTCTATGGGAGTGCCTGTTTGCTGAGCTGATGGATAGGACAGGAGAGTTACTTAGATTAGGTGTTGATTGGCAGGAAGTGGGGCAGTTACATAAACTGTATGGCCTGAAAGTGGTGTCTATCTATGATATGTGACAGTATACCTGTAATGCAGACACAGATGGTAAATCAAAAGAGCTTAATAAAACTTAAATACAATCTCTAGATAGGTTTAACTTCTTTGCACCATTTAAGGTCCATAGGGCATATCTGCATGTTCTGGGTCATAAGTGGTTATACCAAGATCACATCTGTAGCCAACACACACACACACTCGTAGGGTGTGCACGTTCACGTAAACAACAAATGCACTACACATGTTGAGTATTGCCGCAAACTTTGGAGTAAGAGCAATAATTATAGGCATTATTCTCTCTAAATTGATGAGCGGTAAGGGCTTTTAAAGCATCGCCTATGGACAGTTTTTGGTACCTGAGTTTTTCGTCATTTCATAATTGCGCGCACTATAAAAAGACCATGGACTCCCTTAGCCGCTTAGTGTCCATTGGCCATACCTGTTCGTCCCGACCTTAACTGGTTTTGCAAAGATCATTCGTGTAGCCAACACCCCCCACTATCACCACCATAGGGTGCGGACGTGTATGTATACAGCAATTGCACCGCACGTTAAGTATCGCTGCAAACTTCAGAGTGCGATCAATAATTCTAAGGCCATCATTCTCTGTTAACTCTTACTTTATGAACTGTATAGGCTTTTAAGGGGCTGTCCATGGACTTTAGGGTGACCCTAATTACTAGCAAACCTTTATGCAAAAAGTCTTTGGGGCATATTTATAAAGCAGTAAATATGACTTTTACCAAACATTCACTGGAGTTGAATCTAGCTCATACATGTGTTTTTAAATGACAGTGGTTCACCATCTGTGAATGTTTAGGAAAAGAAATTCACTGCTTTATAAATATGCCCCTTAAAGTTTATGTAAAGCCCAAACCTTCCTTTTTATTTTTCGAGTAGAGAAGGGTTAAAACCTTTTTCAGGTTTTCTTATTGTTTTGTTTTTTTGTTTTTTTGCTGCCTATGTCCCACAGAGAAGATTTTCCCTCACGTCCTGTCCTGGAGATACAACAGGAAATCAGAGGAAATCTCTCAAATCTTTGTGTGTTGTCACAGGAACAGGTGTCACCATTTGAGGGCTTTACTTCTTGGTGGCAATGCAAAATGTTTGGTTTTGCCCTAATGTTCTGTTTCTTGGATAAAGGGCCACCAGGATTAAAATAGAAGAGGAATCCCCTGACAAGTACACAGAATTAAAAAAAAGGATGGAAAAGGGCCCAACCCTTCCTTACTCTATCCAAAGCTAATAAAAAAAATGCCAATACATACACGATAATACATAACTAGATTAATCTACAAGATGATGGTCACCCCCAGAACATTCCCCTGTGCTCCCTATACTCAGGTGGCCCCTTTTAAAGACTGCAATATTTCCCCATGCATCCCTTATATGTATTTGTGAATTTAGGTTCTTACCTGGAGTTCAGCTTTAGAATTAGATTTGAAAGAGAAAACATGATTGTCCATGACAACATACAAAAACAGCACAGTTTTTAAGTGGGTCCCTAAATAACTGTTCAGTCGACTACGGTGATGCAGAGGTGACAAATAAAAATTTGCTCACCTAAGGCAATTCATTCCCTGACTAATGTTCCTTTTAATTATTATTAAAGCTAATGAGGAAAATGACCAATCCTGTCTCCTAGAAAGTCTACTTCAGAAAATCAATGGAGGCATCAATAGGGGCCATCTCATGCTATTAATTGCAGTTATTGAATTGTGTCAACTGGTTTTCATATTGAAGACGCTGTTTATACTTCTGTTTTTAGATGCAAAATTTATTTAGCAGTTTTTTTACTTGCATTACTTAAACCACCTTTAGGCTCCTTTCACACGGCTGATCAGGAGAGAAGCCATGCATGGATTCCCCCCCTGGTCAGAGAAGTATGAAGTGGGTGTCACTGCTGTGACATCCATGTCCATCCACAAAAAAACTGAAATTGCCAAACCCCATGTCGGTCTATGGGTAATCGGATGTAAACAGAAATGTGTCCCACACAATTAGGTCCGTCGAAACGGATCTCCAATCCATTTGTATTTCCAAATCTGGCCACAGTCGGGGGTCACCGAGTGTAATCAGATGCCCGTTTGTTTAGACACGGCTACCCATATACTAACACCGGGCATCCAATCAGGTCTGCTGGAGAAACTTGTGAAAGGGCCTAATCCCTGTTTGAGCGATTTGAAGCATGTATGTACAATTTCTTTAACGCTCGACACTCAGATTTCCATGTTGTTCTGTTGTGCCCATTCACATCTGAGTGATATGCTGTTGCTCAACACTCATAAAAAGTGCAAGAGCTTCTTTGGAGAATTATTGTGTTTATTGGCTCCAATAGACTTTAAAAGGAGCACGTTAGAAATGCATTTATAACCTGTGATTTTGCACCTTACAGTTTCCCCCTCCTCCTAGTATAAAGCTTTCCATTGGCAACAACATTAATGTACAAGCCTGAAAATGCTCAAAAACGATTGTGGAGATGCACCCAAAAAGATGCGAAAAATTACCAAAGACATAGACACTCAAATGTGAATGGTGGCAAATGCCGCCATCAGACTGGTGCAGTGTATGTTTCATCTCGAATGAGCTGCCAAGGTAGGAGAGCACAGGTTTTGATGGAATTTCCACAATTTTTCTCAATGCTCCCACACCACAACACACAGGTGGTTCATATCTGCACTTGCTTGATGTATCAGTGAGCCATTCATTATGACAGAAACGCCTGGAGGTTGAATTGACTCTTAATACAGAACCCCAAAGTACATAGTGAGTAGTAATATTAATGTTTTTTTGCCTTGGAGTGCATTTCTTGGCAAAGTTCCATTCTTTTCTTAGTTTTCTGCTTAAATGGCTCTGAAAGTCTCTCAGTGGCGCCATGTTTCTGTAGTCAGTTATGGACACCATGTTTTTTTTTGTTTATTTTACAGTTTGCAACCAACATATGAAAACAGCCGACATGTATCTGGTAGGCCATGGCCACCAGTCAGGTTTCAGCCTCATTTAGTAGGGTGAATGAAGCTGAAATTCTGATTGCTTTGGGTGACTGGTCCATTTTTCTTCACCTTTTCCCTAGTCACATTAGCTCAACTGGGATTTGGTATGTCAAAGAACCTTTGCTCTCGCCTTTACACAAGCTGTTGATGTCAAAACTCTGGACAGCTGCTAGGAACTTTATCCTTCAGTAAAAGTACATTAGGTTCAAGAAATGAAATATCAAATTCTAATTTAAAAAAATTGGATGTCCGTCTTCTGCTGTCAGTGCAAATGAGTCTTCACTCGGCTGAAATATCTGTGGATTAATTTGCGCTCCCATCAACCATTACGAATTAAGCTCATTTTAAACTGTTCATTATATAGGGAGAAGCGTTCGAGAACCTGCTCTGAAGGAAAGACCTGTGCCTCCATTCCTGGTTTTATTCTGATAAAAATGTCCTGGGTATCATCCTGATCCTCTATCTTTCTACAACTTCCAAATTCACGGCATGCACGCTTCTTGCTGACTAAGAAGGGAGAATGTAGATTGGGCTTTAGAGAAAGAGAGAGAAATAAACATAATCTTGTTATTGTGTGAATTCCTTAAATAGAGAGATAGAGCCATAGATATATATAGTATATACAGTATACGCACTGGTAAAACCTTGAACACATATACTGGACAGAATGGGTGATGTAGTGGAAGGAAGCTTGCTGCTGCCCTCTAGTGCTATCTGACCGTATGTTGATGTTGCAAAGATAATAGTTTTTATTTAATTTGGAACACTATTCAAGGTTGAAATTGTAAATTCCGTCATTATTTGACACTGCGTCTACTGTGACTTTTTCTGGATATGCAGTTCCTTGACTAGGACTGTTAAAAGCTAAGGGAGGGGTCTTAGTTCCAGATCTGATTAGGGGGTCCCCCTCACATCCCAAACAGCCCTTTACATTCCCATCAAGCACTTATTTCATATAGAGGTGGATTTATCAAAACTGGAGCAGACAAAATCTTGAGCAGCTGTGCATGGCAACCAATCAGCTTCTTTTTCATTTGAAAGTTTAACTGAACAAACTGAAGAGAAAAGCTGATTGGTTTCCATGCACAGCTGCTCCAGATTTTGGCTGTTCCAGTTTTGATAAATTCCCCTCTTTGTATTTATCTCTTCTTGGTCAGTGTGACCCGTAAAATTCCTAGGTGCTTGAAAGATAAATAGCGGGAAGGAAAAGTAATTTGAAAGAAAATAGAAGGTTGTTTTATTCTATGCAGCAAGTATTATGACGAGGTAATGGTGGCTGTG